GCTGAGTGACCTTGGAGAGCCGCCTCGTTCTCCTCCAGTGCTGTACGTAGACAACAAGGCCATGCTGGCCTTGTGTCGGGAGCAGCGACTGGAGCACAGAACGAAGCACATTGCTCTCCGCTACTTTCTTGCTCGTGAGCTGCAGCAGCGTGGTCAGCTGCGTCTTGCGTACGTGGCCTCTGAGGCCAACACTGCTGGTATCTTCACCAAGGCGCTTGCGCCTTGTGATCATTAGCGCTTCTGTACTCAGCTGGGTCTTGTGCCTGCCTTGCCTCACTTGCTCACCTTTTGACCTTGTTTGTACTGTTACATATATATATATATATATAGATATACACCTGCTCTTGCTTGTCTAGCCATTTTATATATATATATGTACTCCTGCATGTGAACTGGCCTTGTGGCCCTGAACTTGTGCTCGGAATGTGTGGTGACTTTGTGATCCACCCTGAGCTTGCTTTGCTTTGCTTGACTGATCTTGTGACCCCTTGTTCTCCCCCACTTTGCCTATGGGCGTGTGTCAGAACATCATAGCCTATGCATTTTGTGTACGCTATAGTGGGGTAGCCCATAAGGGGTACAACCCAATTAGGGTTAGTTCTTGTACCCAACTCTTTCATAGTTCATTCATTCTCGTTCATTTTCACAATACTGACCAAGACTACGCACAGGATCGCGAGAACGATAACGAGTTTGAGGCGACCGAGGAGGATTTGTTTCAGGGTGGTCTCTACGAACCATCCGTCCGAATTCAAGTCCAGGGGAGTGAAGAAGAGAGTGAAGGGCCGGGAGGCGATGGAGTGCGCCCACGACCTGGTGCACCCGAAGAACGTTACGAGGAGGATGGAGATCACTCTGACGCAGCAGAGGAGGGAGAATCATCGCCGGGACGACGACGACCTCCCAATTCTGCGAGCCATGTCGAGCAGGCTGCGGCCCCGGAAATGCGCAGCGGCAGACCGACGTTGCGGAAAAGGAGAGTAGGATCCGGCGTTCAACAATCCCGCTTCGACTGATAGAGGCCGGCACGAGAAGGCACTATTGTTTCCACTTTCTACACTTGAAGTGGTGGGTGATAATCTTCATGGCAACTATGGTAGATGTCCCTGTGGCAGATAGGCTTGCTCCCTCTCGCACGACGAGGTTGGGTTTCATATGAGCAATAACTTGGGAAATGATGGGTGGTCGTGCAGCTCTGACGAGTGGCTGATTCATCTCCACGGGCCGCGAGTCACGGAATGGAGGCTCGGCCGATACATCGAGTATCTCTTCTGCGAAAATGACGAGCAGGCAAAGTTTTTGCGTGGAAAAATGCGGCCAGGCGTCGAGAAATATGTGGGGAAGGAGGCACAGGGGTGCACGGCTTCAATGATCAAGGCAAAGATGAACGCAATGGGATGCCTTGCCAGATGCGAGGCGAGGCTCTACAGCTTCTCCATCACACTGACCAAGGAGTGGATCAAGGATGCTCGGGATTATTTCAAATTCAAGCTGAAGGATCTGAACGACGAGCAAGTCGCGTGAGTAACATATACGTGTGCTTTCTGTTTGTGTGAATGTTGTTCTACATGGTTTACATAATTACTGTGCTATTCTATGCAGGGATGGTCGAGATCAAACCCGTGGATCAATTGGTGATTGCTATACGGGAAGTATAGGATGCTGCATCTTACTGTTCTGCGAAAAGAGCTCCTAGAGATCTGGTGGCGGACGCCTCCGTCACAAATCTCGCTTCCTCTCAGGAAGGCTCTGCAAGTCCCGGTTATGATGCACCTCGGACACCAATTTCTTGGAAGAGGGTGCAGCATTCGAAAGATTCGCCTTGGGAACCTGTTTGTTAGCATGACGCGGAGCACATCACACCTCGACGACTATCTGGACGTTTTCGTGCTCGTCGTTGTTTCCAGGAAGTCGAAGACCAACCCCAACAACAAGCTGAGTCATCAGTTTCTTGCAAGGCATAGGGACTGGCGGCTCTGCGGAATGGGCCATGTGTTCCTGTGGCTTTATTTCATCTACGAACTCGTTCCTCTGCGCTACGGCCCCGGTATCGTCGAGCCTCTCGACTTTTCTGAGCCGATCTTGTGGACTAAAGCGCACCTCCTCTTTTCTTTGAAGAAGGGCGGCCAGGGAAAGCAGAAGCAAGACGAAATGCACTACAAAACGCATAACACCTGGATTAAGTGGGCCATGATGAAGGCGAGATGGATTCTGAGCAAGGTGACACATGCATTCCGCAGATCCGGAGCGCAACAACTCAATGACGACGGTTGCTCCGACAACGATATCGGCACTCTGGGCGGATGGGCGCAGGGGGAGTTGCGGAGGTGTTATGTGTTCGGCATTCCGTTCAAGCCGGTTTGGCTGCTGGCAGGATTCAGCGGGGATCGTGGAGACTACTACAACGGCAGAGCCCGCGCCAAGCTTCCGCGGCATAAGGATAAGGAGAAGGATGAGTGGTTGCAGCTCTTGGATCTCTTGAGGCTTCACATTTTCCCGTGGGTCGAAGAGGGTTGGAAGAAGGTACGTGCTAGTGTACAGTCTTCGCGTTCGTAGCTTAATTTTGATACGCAATTATGAACCGTCGCATTTCTCCTGCATACTCGTCCCGTCAGGTCGAAGAATGGAACGCTGGGCAGACCGATCCGCTGAAGAGGCACTATGCGGGGGCGAGGTTCCTTGAGACCCTCGCGAGCATCAGACGCCTCGTTGTTGCACAGGATCTTGCTATGATGTGGGCGTTCTGCCATCAGCACGGCGTGAGAAACCTGCGGTGCAATTGCGAGAGGCATCCATATGTGCAGATGAGCCCCTTGTGCAACCACCCGCTGTTCCAAAAGTGGGCGTACCTGGTCGCTATCTCTCACTTCCAGGGCGAGAAGCTTCGGGCAACCTGCCAAACCACCGCCAAAGCAGTAAGTGCCTGCCATTAGTGGTGGAGAGAGGGAGTTATTCGTTCATGCTGAGTTCTGCCGTGTTGATTTTTGCAGGACGCTATCTTTCGCACGACCGCAGAAGAGAAGCTGCAGAAGATGCACCTCACCGCCAATATGCTCAGGGAGGAGCTTGGGATTTTGAGAGGACGTGAAATGCAGTTGGCGATGGAGAACGCTGAACTGAGGGAGAAACTCGCCGCTCAGCGAGAGGACAAGGCTCGGGTCATTGCAGAGTTCGAAGCATACAAGAGGTCTGTTGCGGCCAGGGATGTCGCGGCAAACACCTCTTCAGAGATCGACGGATCGTCGAAGAGCGCGGGAACAGGAGCAAACCAGGCAACGGACGCATCCAAAGCACCAGTCGCAGTCGAAGAATTCTTCGTCGTGGTCGTTGTGTCTTGGCGCGAAGCCACCACCACTGCTGCTGCCTGGAAAGTGTGGGTGCAGCCAAGCCTCATCATGGGCGGCAGGTCACTGCGCGAAGTCTTTGCAGAGTTCGACCGGTATAAGAAGAAGGACAAGAATTCCAGCTTCATCACTGCATATTCCCGCTTCGCTGACAAAGGTACGCCCGGGATGGCTGTGGGTGCATGCGAGCGAAAGATGTGTCGCGTGCATCGTGTCATGGTTTCCGTGGAGACGCTAAGAAAAGACAGCTCTGAGGCGGCGACCGCAACGGCCATTAAGCTGCTGGACGAGGTTTTACTCTTGTGCAACTTCACGGAATTCACCAACGGCCTGGCGGTGCTGCATGAGACTCCGCCCATCAAGAAACAGAAGACCGGTTCGTCGACGGAAAAGAGGGCCGTCAACGACTTGGCGCAACGTAGAGTGGGCTGGCTGTTAGTCAAGAAGGGCCTTCGCAACCAGGAGTGGGCAACTTCGCTGTTTGGGGATGATGAGTGGGAGGAGATCCACAAGGAACACATGGCGCAGGAGAAGGCTGACAAAGTTTGAAGAAAGAAAGAGGAAAGAGGAATGAACTAGCAGAAATGGGGATACAAATAGCAAACCCTAGAAGGGTTGTACTCGCTATAGAGCACCCCACTACAGGCTAGAACATAAGAATAATATTCTGACAAAGGCGGAAGAGGAGAAACAACGAACCGCTGCGGCGAAGAAGGCGGAACGGGAAAAGGCGAAGGGCGAAGCGTCGAAACGCTAGGAGCAGAAATGAGGGGGCATGTACCTTAAGGGTGGGGCGGTTTAGTTATTTGGGTACTTTATTCCGGTTGTACTAAATATACACTACAGGCACTTGTCTGTCTCTGTAGAAGCCCGATTTGGGGCTTGTATGCCACCTTCTTCCCTGGACGCGCTGTTTTTCGTAGAATGTTTTTCTGGTCTATGCATTGAAGCACACATCGATGGTATACACCGGGCGAAATTGTGCGGACTCATGTTGTATACGATGTTATTCTATAGAGCGGCGTCGATAAATTCACTCTCACGATTGTAGATGTGTGTTCTTAGGCCACTCGGTAGACTTTTGCGTGGATGAATTCAGTCTCAGCATATGTTTCTGGGCAAAGGAGTGTCATATTCTACTAGTAGCAACGAAGATCCTATCCATGACGGTAGATATTATCCATACGTGGGTTTTTCTGCGGTATACTGTCGTTTCCGATTTGCCTCCACTACCTGGCGTCGAGGAATTCAATCTCCATAGCAGAAAGGTCTGTGCATAGGAATACCGTATACGATTCTTAACAAGTTGTTCCCTAAGACAAGATGTTATGCGATTGTTTAGCCCCATACTTCTACCTCCTCGTAGAAGCCGAGTATTTAACGTAGATTAAGTGTCGGAGAAGGCCGTCATGCCGTCAATTATTTTATTCGGCTGGCCCTCCCTTTGATGGCGAGTTCTATCGGCTGCATTGCTAACTCCATACGCGCCCTACAAATTTCGCGAGTGTAGTGAAGGTTTGCATAGCAACAATACATCTCTCATTGTATTGTATACAACACCACCTATATTTCTACACGGTTAAAAAATAAAATGGAAAGGAAAATCTATTTCTACTGCGGTACAAACAAGACCTCCAAAGAACCCGTCTGCCTCTATCACCCCTGGCCGCCAGTGCCGGTGTTCTCCTCCGTCGACGCATCCTTCGTCGCGTTCCCCTTCGCGGACGATTTCTTGGTTTTCTTCTCCTTATCCGCCCCTGTTGTGGTATCCCGGCCGCCCAACTTCTTCTGCAGGACTCCGAGGCAGACGCCCTGGTACTGGCGAAGGCCTCTTGATGCCATGCTGCATAGGCACCAAGAGGTCACCACCTTTGCCACCACCCTCGTCATCCGCTTCGCATCCCCGGCCGCTCGCGACTCTGCCGGAAGCGCTTTCATCAGCGCATCCGACAGGGGCAGAATCCACGCTTCCTTGTCATGCTCCTGATCCTTGACCGACCTCATCGCCTCAACCGCAACGCAAGCAACCGAGGCTGCAAGCGTCGCAAGGGCATCAAGGACGGCAGAGGACACATCGGCCGCAGAAGATGACGAGGCAGCCGACGAGGCGGTGGCAGCAGTGGACGATCTGGCAGTAGAAGATGCTATGGCCGTAGAAGTTCCACGTGCAGCTGTTGTTGCGCCCGTCTCCCACTGGGTCTGGTCCACATTCGTGGATGCGGCCCACATTACATACAACGTGGCGGCAAGTCCGATTGCGTGTTCTTCCGTCGAATAGCCGTTTTCACCCTCCACGCCTCCCACCATCTTCTGCCACGCAGTTATTCCGACACCAGTGCAGGCAGCTACCTGAAAGCCACCCCCCTGCTGCTGCCGAAGAGCTGTGTTGGTTTGAACGAGTGAGAATCTGCACAAGACACCAGTGTCACAAGATCAGAACCATCGAACTTCGCGTGTGTTTAGAAGTTGGAACTGTCCATCACATAAACACTCACCCGTCCGGTTTGTCCAGGTGGAGTTCGTTGATGACGCTCCACACCCCTGTTGGAAGCCATGTTGTGAAGTCGAGGTCTTCCCGCCACTTGTTAATACGGTTTGGATTCATGCCGTATGCGTGCATGTCAATATCCGTGAAGTAGAACTTCCAGCAGACTGCGACCGTGTATACCCTCTCCCACACCGTTTTGTGAGAGCCGAGGTTCCGCTTCCGGCCGCCGACGGTCTGCTCAGACGTCCACTTCTACAAAGCTCCCTCGCCCCGTTGAGAGAACCCGCTTCCCCTGAACGGCAGGCAGACACCCAAAGTCTTACCCTTGTCGTCCACTACGGCGTTTTTCCTGTTGTCACACTTGTCGATCTTCATCCCTTTCTTTTCCCCTGGGATTATTGGTATCAACTCCTGTATACCAGCTGCACGCCGTCTCTTAGCCGCATGACCCTCTGGCTCCCTGTCCTCCTGTCTAGGCCGCCTCTTGGACACCTCTACATTCTGTCCAGGAACAATAGCCACGCCCTCTGCTACATTCGCCTCCCCGCTCTCAATCAATAGCAAACTCGCTTGGCCCTCAGCCATTTCCTCCTCGACTCCCTTCCAGGTCCCCTCCCCCTGCATGGTCAAATCCTCCTCTTCTATCTCCCTTGCCAATCGTTCCGTCTCTTCAGCCATCGCCTTTGCCTTTGCCTCCAGTTGCCGCTGCTGTTCCGCGTAGGATGCAAGTCTGGCCCTCTTCTCTGCTCGGCACTGCTCCGCCTTCTACAGGCGCTCCATCTCCTGCTGTTCTGCCCTCTGCTGCCGCTCCGCCTCCTCTGCCTCCTTCTGTGCTTCCTCCTTCTGCAGGCGCTCCATCTCCTGCTGTTTCGCCCGTTGCTGCTGCTCGGCCTCCTCTGCCTCCTTCTTCTGCGCCTCCTCCTTCTGCAGGCGCTCCATCTCCTGCTGTTTCGCCCGCTGCTGCCGCTCGGCCTCCTCTGCCTCCTTCTTCTGCGCCTCCTCCATCTGCAGGCGCTCCATCTCCTGTTGTTTCGCCCGCTGCTGCCGCTCGGCCTCCTCTGCCTCCTTCTTCTGCGTCTCCTCCTTCTGCAGGCGGTCCAATTCCTGCTTTTTCGCCCTCTGACGCCGCTCTACCTCCTCTGCCTCCTTCCTCTGCCTCTCCTCCTTCTGCAGGCGCGCCATCTCCTGTTGTTTCTCCCTCTCCTGCCTCTCAGCCTCCTCTGCATCTTTCCGCTGCGCCTCCTCCTTCTGCAGGCGCGCCATCTCCTGTTGTTTCTCCCTCTCCACCCGCTCTGCTTCCTCTGCCTCCTTCCTCTGCGCATCCTCCTTCTGTCGCCGATCTCCCTCCGTTGCCTTCCTACCCTGCTCCTCCTTTTGCCGCCGCTCTGCGTCCAATCTCAGAACCACTGACAGCCGCTTTTCCACCTCACTTAGCATCCCCTCCTTCCACCCCTTCATCCCCGTCTTCATCTACTTCACAGCCTCCATCACTTCCTTAATTCCCGCCTCCACCTCCTTCTGCCGTCGCTCTTCCTCCTCATGTTTGTTCTTCCTCCGCCGCTCTGTGGCCTCTACATCCTTCCTCTTCTCCTCCTCCTCCTTCCGCCATTGCTCGTCCAGTTGTTTCTTCTTCTGTCTCTCCTCGTCGTCCGCCACTTGTTTCCTCTTCGCGTCCTGCTGTTGTCGCCGCTCCGCGTCCTCTTGCCTCGCCTTCTTCTGCCGCTCGGATTCTTCTCGCAAAACCGCGCTCAACCTCCCCACAATCTGGTTTACCATCCCATCCTTCATCTCCTTCATTTCTGCCTTCATCTCCTTCATCATCGCCTCCTTCATCTCCTTCATTCCCTCTCTCATCTCCTTCTGCCCACGCTCTTCCTCCTGCTGTTGTTCCTTCTTCCGTCTCTCTGCGGCGTCTGTCAGATATATATGACATAGCTATTGTAGGCTATAGTGGGGTAGCACATATGGGGTACAACTTTCTAGGGTTTGTATTTGTACCCAACTTTCACTTAGTCATTCCATTCTCTCGTTCTCATTTTCACATGGAATCAGAGCAGGTCCCCTCCTAGGGACTATTTCTTGGGCCCACCGAAGCGCGCCCCGAGGCGCGCGTTTTTTTTAGCGACCCGTAGTGTCGCCCTCCCCCCCTCCCAGCGGCCCGTCGCGCCGCCTTTCGGTCGCGGCCCCGCCGCCCTACTCTAGCGGCCCCGCCGCCCTACGTCGCGGCCCCGCCGCCCTACCCTTCGACGGCGCCGCCGCCCTAAGTCGCGGCCCCGCCGCCCTACTTTGACGGCCCCGCCGCCCTACGTCGCGGCCCTGCCGCCCTACCCTATGTCGCGGCCCCGCCGCCCTACCCTTCAACGGCGCCGCCGCCCTACGTCGCGGCCCCGCCGCCCTACTTCGACGGCCCCGCCGCCCTACGTCGCGGCCTCGCCGCCCTACTTCGACGGCCCCGCCGCCCTACCCTACGTCGCGGCCCCGCCGCCCTACCCTTCGACGGCGCCGCCGCCCTACGTAGCGGCCCCGCCGCCCTACTTCGACGGCCCCGCCGCCCTACGTTGCGGCCCCGCCGCCCTACTTTGACAGCCCCGCCGCCCTACGTCGAGGCCCCGCCGCCCTACCCTACTTCGCGGCCCCGCCGCCCTACCCTACTTCGCGGCCCCGCCGCCCTACGTTGCGGCCACGCCGCCCTACCCTACATCGACGGCCCCGCCGCCCTACTCAGCGGCCCGCCAGCCGCCCTACCTGCGGCCCACCCGCCGCCCGACCGCCGGGTCGCCCAGCCGCTGAGCCGCCGAGCCGCCCAGCAGCCGACCGCCGAGCCGCCGAGTAGCCGAGCCGCCGAGCCGCCGAGCAGCCGAGCAGCCGGGCCGCCGAGCAGCCGAGCCGCCCCGCAGCCGAGCCGCCGAGCAGCCGAGCCGCCCTGCAGCCGAGCCGCCCCGCAGCCGAGCCGCTCAGCAGCCGAGCAGCCGAGCCGCCGAGCAGCCGAGCCGCCCCGCAGCCGAGCCGCCGGCCGCTGAGCTGCCCTACTTCCATACGGCCCGTTCTACCAAGCCTGGTGAGCACAGAGCCTTCTTTTTCACTGCGCTGCCCTCACCCTACTGTTTGCACTGCTAGGCGTCTGTCGTCATGGCTACCCCCAGTGTCCTCGCTTTTGACGCTGAGGGTCGGGCCATTGACTTTGAGGTCTGGGTAGATGACCTCGAGCTGTTCTTACAGTGCGATAGGGCAGACGACCTCTCTCTCTTTGACCTTACCTCTGGCGCTTCCCCTGCCCCTGCTGCTGATGCTGACCCTACTGTTCGCTCCCAGTGGGCTACGCGCGATGCTGCTGCACGTCTTGCTGTGCGTCGCCACCTCCCTACCTCTGAGCGTGCGCACTTTAGTCAGTACAAGAGTGCTCAGACCTTGTATGACGCTGTCGTTGCGCGCTACTCCTCCCCTGCCACTGCTGCACTGAGCTGCCTAATGCTACCCTTCCTCTTCCCTGACCTTGCCGCCTTTCCCACAGTCGCTGATCTCATTACGCATCTCCGCACTAGTGACACCCGCTACCGCGCTGCGCTTCCTGCTGACTTCTGCGCCAAGAACCCCCCCCCCCATTTACATCACTCTCTACTTTTTAGTCACCCGCCTCCCCGACTCCCTTCGTGTCGTCCGGGACCACTTCCTCGCGGTCTGTCCCACCACTCTCACAGTCGACAGCCTAGAGAAGGCCCTCCTAGCGGCGGAGAAGAGCATCGTCGCTGTAGGGGCCTCTCGAGGTGACCCCCGCGCCCCCATCTTTAAGGGGTGTTCTCCTTCCCCTCTCTTGCCCTCTGTCGCCTCTTCCGCTGCGGCCGACCTCGTTGGTCTTGAGTCGGTCGGTGCAGCGTGTGCCCCTAGCGGGAGACGTCGCCCTGGCAAAGGCAAGGGGGGCAAGGGAGCGGGTGGGGCTAGCGGGGGCGGTGGCGGTGGAGGTGGAGGCGGCGGAGGGAGTGGGGGTGGCGGTGGAGGAGGTGGCGGGTTTGGGGGTACTAGTGGCAGCAGTGGTGGCGGAGGCGGCGTCGGCGGCGGCGGTACCGGCGGGGGTGGCGGCGGTGGCGGAGGTGGAGGCGGTGGAGGAGGAGGTGGTGGAGGTGGTCGGAGTGGCACTTCACAGCGGAGCGGCACTGGGGATGGTCAGCGCCAGCAGCAGCAGCAGCAGCGTTCTCGTGACGTCCCCACCCCTCAGCAGCTCCGTGAGGGGTACACGCAGCGTTAGCGTGGTCGGGGACTTGGTCCCTGCACCTACGTCCTTCGCACCGGCGACCGCGCGGGTGAGCAGTGTGGGGGTGCCCACCCCACCCAGCGCTGTTTTGGCCGCCTGACGGACGCTTGGCGTCAGCAGTTTCCGGAGGCCACGGAGATCCCCCGCTGGGGAGAGCTGTCTAGGGCTGGCGTGGCTATCTTTGATCTTGACTTTGATGCTATCCTTGCTGCCATGTATGCTGTGACTATTAGTGATGAGGGTGACTGTTACCGGTGTTTCCCGCCCGACCCGGGCATTGGTACTGCTGCGCTAGGTGCTTGTGAGGCTACTGCTCTAGGTGCCAGTGCGTCTGCGCTCTCAGGTACTAGTGAGGCTGCGCTCTCAGGTACTAGTGAGGCTGCTCTCTCAGGTACCGCGTCGGCTTCGGCCTCCCTCACCTTCACACTTGACTCAGGGGCTTCTCGCTCCTTCTTTCGAGACCGCACCACACTCACGCCGCTTGGTCGGCCGGTTGCAGTCTCCCTGGCAGACCCCTCTGGGGGTCCTGTCCTCGCTCACTTCTCCACTGTCCTCCCGTGTCCGGCTGCCCCCTCGGGCACCCTGTCGGGTCTGTACCTACCCTCGTTCTCGACGAACTTGGTGAGTGGTGCTGACCTGCAGGATGCGGGGGTTCACCAGTTTACTCCTGCGAGTCAGCGGGGGATCCACTGCTCGGACGCCCGCACAGGCCGACACCTAGCCACGTTTTCGCGTCGGCCCGGGTCGAGTCTCTACACCCTGACCAATGAGTCTCCTCCAGTCCCTGCGTGTGGCCAGGTAGCTGCGTCGGGTCAGGTGTTTGCTGCTGCGTCCAGGTCTGGTCCTGAGTCTGCCCCCTGCTCGTGTCGCCTCCTGTCTCACGAGACTCTCTTGTGGCACCACCGTCTTGGCCACCCCTCCTTGCCTCGTCTTCGGGGCATGGCTTCCCGTGTCCTTGTCTCTGGTCTCCCCCGGTCTCTCCCTCCCCTTCCTTCGGGGCCTGGACCTTCCTGTGTCCCCTGTGTCGAGGGGCGGCTCCGGGCTGCCCCTCACTCCTCCCAGTTTCCCCCGACAGAGGCTCCTCAGCAGACGCTTCACATGGACGTGTGGGGCCCGGCCCGCGTCCGTGGACAGGGTCACGAGCGCTACTTCCTGCTGGTGGTTGACGACTACTCGCGTTACACCACAGTCTTCCCCTTCCGCAGCAAGGAGGATGTCACTGAGGTGTTGATCGACTGGATCCGCGCGGCTCGTCTCCAGCTCAGGAGGAGCTTCGGCTCGGACTTTCCTGTTCTGCGTCTGCACTCTGACCGAGGCGGAGAGTTCTCCTCTGGCCTTCTGCGAGCCTACTGTCGTGCACGAGGCATCCGCCAGACCTTCACGCTTCCGGACTCTCCACAGCAAAATGGGATTGCTGAGCGCCGCATTGGCATGGTCATGGACGTCGCTCGTACGTCCATGATGCATGCGGCTGCCCCCCATTTTCTGTGGCCGTTTGCGGTTCGGTACGCGGCGCATCAGCTCAACCTTCACCCCAGGGTCTCCCGGCCGAAGACCTCCCCAGCTCTGCTGTGGACGGGGAAGGTCAGCGATGCGTCTGCGTTTCGTGTCTGGGGATCTCGGGCGTTTGTCCGTGACCTGTCTGTGGACAAGCTGTCCCCTCGTGCTGCTCCCTGTGTCTTCCTAGGCTTCCCCCCTGACGCCCTAGTGTGGCAGTTCTACCACCCCTCCTCTCGTCGTGTTCTGTCCTCCCAGGACGTCAGGTTCGACGAGTCAGTCCCCTTCTACCGCCTCTTCCCCTACCGCACTCCTTCCCTCCCGCCACCGCCGCACTTCCTTGTACCAGGTCCCCCCCCGGTAGACCCCCTTCCCCCTCAGGGTCCTGCCCCTTCAGGTGTGTCCCCAGGTCGATGCAGTCGAGCCGGTCGAGGTTGCTGGTGACTCAGAAACTGCTGGGGGGGCTGAGCCTGGGGGTGCTGACTCTGGGGGTGCTGAGTCTGGGGGTGCTGAGCCTGGGGCTGCTGAGTCTGGGGGTGCTGAGCCTGGGGGTGCGGAGCCTGGGGGTGCTGCCTCTGGGGGTGCTGAGCCTGGGGGTGCTGACTCTGAGGGTGCTGCGCGCGTGGGTGCTGAGCCAGGGGGGTACTGGGCCTGGAGGTTCTCTGGGTGTTTCGTCTCGGCAGGAGCCACTCTCTCCACAGGAGCTACGTGAGTGGTTTGCTCGCCGCTGGAGGCGTACTGCTCGAGCTGGCGCTTCTTCGGCCGCTGAGGGTGCTGGTGCCGCCGGTCCCGGAGCTGCTAGGCCTGCGGGTCCGCCTGGAGCTGGAGCTGCTGAGGGTGTTGGTTCTGAGACTACTACTGTACGTCCTGGTGGTGGTCGTGCTGCGGGTACTGCTGGCGCTACTGGAGGTCCTGCCGCTGGAGGTGCTGTTGGCGCTGGTGCTGCCGGAGGTGCTGAGGGTGCTGGTGCTGTCCCTGCTGTGTCTGGTGCCGCCGCGTGGCCTCGGCCGTACTTCGTTCCGCTCCTTCAGCAAGTTCTTGGTTTTCCTCCTCTCTTCGAGGGTCCACCGCCTGTCCAGTCGCAGTCACAGTTACCGCCGGCCTCCCCACTGCCTGCTCCGTCTCCCTAAACTGGTCCTACCGGTGGTCTTGCTGAGCGTCGTGAGCCTGCGTCTCGTCCTGCGTCGCCTGTTCGTGCTGCTAGCACTAGTGGTCGCAGTTCGTGTCAGCGTCCTCCTCCTGTCCCTGGCACGCACCGGATGTCTCTGCGTCCGTCCACTGCTCCTCTGCGTGCCCCTTTGCCCTCTCCTCCTGAGTCCTCTCTTCCTGCACTTGCCGACCCTGAGTCGGACTCTCTTCGTGCTGCCAGTCCTACTGTCACGCGTCTCCTTGCTGCTGTTGTCACTGACCCCTCCTTTGAGTCCACTGCTGCGTCTTCTCTTGTTGCTGAGCTCGTCGACTTCGCTGCTCGCTGTCGTCTAGACTACACTACTAGTCTTGTTGCTGAGTCTACGTTTGTCTGTCCTCCGTCCGTCGGGGGTGAGTGTGCTCTTGGCACGGACGTCCTTGAGGACAGGCAGGAGGAGTTTCAGTGTCTGGCTGCTGCTTCACCTCATCTCGCGTCTGTACTGCTTGCCCCTGAGGGAGACCCGGATGCACTAGACATCCCGACTCCGCGCTCTTACGCGGAGGCCGTAGAGGGTCCCTACTCCTCTCAGTGGCAGGCAGCTATGGATGCAGAGATGGCTTCCTGGAAGTCCACAGGCACCTACGTTGACGAGGTTCCCCCTCCTGGGGCGAACATTGTTAGTGGGATGTGGATCTTCAGGGTGAAGCGGCCGCCGGGCTCTCCACCTGTCTTCAAGGCGCGGTACGTGGCTCGTGGCTTCAGTCAGCAGCAGGGAGTTGACTACTTTCAGACCTTCTCTCCCACCCCAAAGATGACCACTCTTCGGGTGCTGCTGCACATAGCCGCTCAGCGCGACTACGAGCTCCACTCTCTTGACTTCAGCACTGCTTTCTTGCAGGGTAGCATGCACGAGGAGATCTGGCTGCGCCGTCCACCTGGCTTCACTGGGACTTTCCCTCCTGGCACCCAGTGGAGCCTCCGACGGCCAGTCTACGGTCTCCGCCAGGCACCACGTGAGTGGCACGACACACTGAGAACTACGCTTGCGGCTCTTGGGTTTGCTCCCTCTACTGCTGACCCGTCGTTGTTTCTGCGCACCGACACTTCTTTGCCGCCGTTCTACATCCTCGTGTACGTCGACGACTTGGTCTTTGCCACAGCGGACACTGCTGGACTCGCCTACGTGAAGTCCGAGCTGCAGAAGAGACACACGTGCACAGACCTGGGTGAACTGCGCAGCTATCTTGGCTTGCAGATCACTCGGGACAGAGCACGCCGCACCATTACCTTGACTCAGTCACACATGGTGCAGCAGGTCCTTCAGCGCTTCGGCTTCACGTACTCCTCGCCTTAGGCCACTCCTCTGTCTACTCGCCACTCGCTCTTAGCTCTGCCTTCGGATGAGTCCGTAGAGTCGAGTGGTCCGTATGGAGAGCTTGTTGGCTGCCTCATGTACCTGATGACCTGCACACGACCTGACCTTGCATACCCTCTTAGCATCTTGGCACGCTATGTTGCTCCTGGGAGACACCGACCAGAGCACATGGCTGCAGCGAAGAGGGTGTTGCGCTACGTGTGCAGTACGTCGGGCATGGGGCTAGTGCTTGGAGGGCGGAGTCCAGTGGTCCTCACTGGGCACGCGGACGCTTCTTGGGCTGACGACCAGGCTACGCAGCGGTCGTCGCAGGGTTACACCTTCAGCCTTGGTTCTGGCTCTGTTTCGTGGCGGGCTACTCGCTCGTCTTCTGTTCTCGGCTCCACTTGTGAGGCTGAGATCTACGCCGGGGCCATGGCTGCTCAGGAGCTTTGCTGGCTCACCTACCTGCTGACTGACCTTGGAGAGCCTCCTCGTTCTCCTCCAGTGCTGTACGTAGACAACAAGGCCATGCTGGCCTTGTGTCGAGAGCAGCGCCTGGAGCACAGAACGAAGCACATTGCTCTCCGCTACTTTCTTGCTCGTGAGCTGCAGCAGCGTGGTCAGTTGCGACTTGCGTACGTGGCCTCTGAGGCCAACACTGCTGATGTTTTCACCAAGGCACTTCCGTCTTGTGATCATCAGCGCTTCTGCACTCAGCTGGGACTTGTACCTGTCTTACCTCACTTGCTCACCTCTTGATCTTACTTGTACTCTTGCATATATACATACCTGCTCTTGCTTGTTTAGTGTTATATATATATGTGCACTCCTGCATGTGAACTGGCCTTGTGGCCTTGACCTTGTGCTCGGACTATGTGGTGACTTTGTGATCCACCCTGAGCTTGCTTTGCTTTGCTTTGCTTGACTGGTCTTGTGACCCCTTGTTCTCCCCCACTTTGCCTATGGGGGTGTGTCAGATATATATGACATAGCTATTGTAGGCTATAGTGGGGTAGCACATATGGGGTACAGCTTTCTAGGGTTTGTATTTGTACCCAACTTTCACTTAGTCATTCCATTCTCTCGTTCTCAGTTTCACAGCGTCTGCTTCCTTCCTCGTGGCCTTCTGCCTCCGCTCCTCGTCCTGCAGTCTATCCCTGTTCCGCCGCTCAGAGTCTTCTCTCAGAACCTCTCTCAACCTCTCTTCCACCCCCTTTAACGTGCCCTCCGCCATCCCCCCTCCCGACTGGCGAACCTGATCACTCACCCTTACGATACTCTCCTGCAAGTTGGAGAGTCTTGTGTCCACCTGCTCGCGAAACCTGGCCGCCGTTTCAGCTTGGCGCCGCCGTTCCTCGTTTCCATGGCGGACTTCTTCCAGGTTGGCCAGGGCGTCGCGGCAGTAATGGACGGTCAGATCGGCCACGTCGCGACTAATGCTACTGTTGCGGGCCGCCAAGTTGCAGAACGTCTGCGTCACCATTCGGGCTAAGAGCGTCAGACGACGCGTTACCTCTGCCGGGCTTATGTCCCAGCTTTCAACCTCGACGAACCTGTCACCTTGTTCGTCCAGGACTGTACTCGTCCGATGCAGGATCCGCCGTATTGCCGTCTCTGCCTCGACCCACTCTACCTGCCAAAACGCTTCTGCCACCCCGCCTCGGCCGAGATTCCTCTCCACTGCTCTCCGGTGAAGGGTAGGCCGCCTCTGCCTGTTGAGATCCACTGTATCCCTAGGCGCCCCAACGTCTGCCACCCTCCATGGCCCCTCTACCCCGGTTCCTGGTCTCCGCGTTGGACTTCCTCCCAAAAATATCCGGACTGCCGGATGTACCGTATCCTCCTTATTCTGCTCCTCTTCTGTTTCCAGCGCATCTCCCTCGTAGTGCCCCACTCCAGCCTCCGGGACCACACGAACCTCCTCCTCAGTATTTTGACGCCCTGTCTCTGCCATGCTCTGCGTCTCTCGGTATGCGAATACCTGCGACGCTGCCTCCTCGTCATGCTGCCCCTCTTCCTCTGCGATGATGTGCCCCTCAGCACCCGCCGTCTCCTGTCCCTCTGTTTGTATCATTTTATTCCCATCTGAACCGTCCTCTCCATCTGGCTTCCTACGTGCGTCTGCCTCAGCCTGCTTCTGCTCCTCGGCCTCTGCCATCTTCTGCGCCTCACCCTCCGCCTTCTACCGCGCCTCTACAACAGCCTTCTTCCGCGCTTCTGCCCGAGCCAGTTGTAGTGCCTCTTCCGCAGGCTGTTTCTGCTCCTCTGCCTCCGCCTTCTGCTGCGCCGCTGCTTCTGCCTTATTCCGAGCCTCTCCTTCCTTATGTGCGTCTGCCTCCTCCTTATGCAGCGCCGCTGCCTTATCCTTCTGCTTCGCCGCTGCCTCTGATTCCTTCTGCGCCTCTGCCTCAACCATCTTCGGCGCCGCACCCTCCTCCTTCTGCTGTGCCGCTGCCTCTGATTCCTTCTGCACCTCTGCCTCAACCATCTTCAGCGCCGCACCCTCCTCCTTCTGCTGCGCCGCTGCCTCTGATTCCTTCTGCGCCTCTGCCTCAACCATCCTGGGCGCCGCACCCTCATCCTTCTGCTGCGCTGCCGCCGCTGATTCCTTATGTGCGTCTGCCTCATCATTCTGCTGCGCCGCTGCCTCATCCTTCTGGCTCGCCGTTGCCTCTGATTCCTTCTGCGCCACTGCCTCCACTACCTGCAGCTCGACTGCCTCCGACGTCAGCTCTGCTGCTGCACCCGCTTCTTTACGCGCGACTGCCTCCGCACTCTTGACCGCCTCTGCACCCACCTTCTGCTGCGCCGCAGACTCTGCTTCCTTTCGCGCCCCGTCCTCTGCCGTAAGTGCCGCCTCTGCATCGACGAACCAATGGGCCGCATCCTCTGCATTCTAGTGCGCCTCTACCTCCGCCATCTTATGAGCCTTTGCACCCGCGTTGCTCTGCGCCTTCTTTTGTCAAAAGTTAGAAGAAATAAAAAGAGAGGATTGAACTAGCAAGAATGAGGATACAAATAGCAAACCCTAGAAGGGTTGTACTCGCTATAGAGCACCCCACTACAGGCTAGAACAATAAGATAATATTCTGACACACCCCCATAGCCAAAGTGGGGTGTAATCAGCAGTGCAGGCAAAGCAAAACAAGCTCAGGGTGGATCACAATGTCACCACACATTCTGAGCACAAGTTCAAGAAGAAATAGTTCATAGTTCACAATTATAAGCAAAACTAGTGGTGGTCACAACGGGCAAGTGAGGAGGAGGAGTGAGAGCGAGAGGAGTTGGGAGGCGACAGCTGAAGCTGCAGACACACGGGCAACAGGAGGCACACTGGCACAGCGGCTACCGGGCGACGCCCCCGGACTACTGGAGTAACTGGCCCCGCGGCTAAAGTAGCGGCAGACGAGCAACGGACCCACGGGCGGCTGGCACAGCTGGCTACGACTGGGCTACCGGGCGAAGCCCCCGGAATACAGGTGTTGCTGACGACAAACTGGCAACCTCCACTCATCCTCCCGCACACAGTCCCACCCCCCTCATACACACCCACTGCTACACCACTAGCTCTACTCCCACACACCCCCCTAGCACCACTCCTTCGTCTCCCACACACCCACCCCCCTCAGCGGCAGCTGCAGCAGTGGGAGACGGAGGAGGAGGAGGAGCAGGGGACCGCGCACACCCGCCACCCCCATACCCGTCACCCCCATACCCTGAGTGTGCGGTAGGCGAGCTCAGGTGTGCGCGAAGCATGCACAAGCGTGCGGGAAGCAAAATCGGGTGTGCGGGAAGCGAACTCGGGTGTGCGGTAAGCAAACGCAGGTGTGCGGGGAGGGGGGGGGGGGGGGGGCCGCAGGGCGACACGCGGGTCGACGGGGATGGGCACACCGGTCGCCGGAGGCGGCGCGCGGGTCGACGGGGCCGCCACTAAGGGCGACAGGGAGCCTCGCGCGGGTTGACGGGGACGCCGCGAAGGGCGACGAGGAGCCGCACGCAGGTCGACGGGGACGGGCGTGCGGGTCGACGGAACGCGAAACCGCCGCGTGCGCCCAGGGTGCGCGGTGGGCAGAAAACCGCCACGCGTCCTGAGCGCATGGCGTGCAGAATACCGCCGCGCGAAGCAGGAAACCGCCGCGCGCCTCGGGGCGCACGGTGGGCAGAAAACCGCCGCACGCACTGAGCGCGCGGTGGGCAGAAAACCGCCATGCGCCCCGAGCACGTGGCGGGAAGAAAAAACTGCCGCACGCCACGGGGCGTGCGGCATAGAGAGTAGCAGTAGCAGTTGCAGCGGAAGCAACGAGGTGGTGAGCCCACCCACAGGATCGATCCAAGGGGATCGACCTGCTCTGATACCATGTCAAAAGTTAGAAGAAAGAAAAAGAGAGGATTGAACTAGCAAGAATGAGGATACAAATAGCAAACCCTAGAAGGGTTGTACTCGCTATAGAGCACCCCACTACAGGCTAGAACAATAAGATAATATTCTGACATCTTTTTCGCCCGAATTCTCTGGCACGTCGACGTCCCCTCTCCGGGCCTCTTCAGCCGCCTTCCGCTTTACGCTGGGCAAGCGAACTTTCACGTATCCCCTATCCTCCTCGATATGCTGCCGCACATTGCTGGCGAGCTCCTCTCCTGCCTCTCCCACGTGTGCCCTTGCAGCGGCTCGAGCCCCACGCTCCCATGCTTCACGTATGTCTCTAGTTCCCGGAAAAGAGACGGTAGGATCGGTGTCGCCATCACTTCGCCGTTGCCTCTCTTCAGCCCGTCTCCTCTTGGCTTCTGCTTCGGCCATCCGCTTATCATCAGCCGCCTTCCTCCACTGCTCCTCTGCCTGTTCGACCTGACTTGGCAGCTGTGGATCTTCTACACCCTCCTCGCCTTCATCTGCTACACTTGCCAAGTCGGTCTCCGTCCGTGCTTCGCGTTCCGGCGGCCTCCTAACCCGATCAGCAAACCTAAGCTGCCTAACTCCAGACCTAACACGCTCGTCCGCAGTGGCTGACCTTGATCTCGGGCCACTCAGTAGGGAACCCCCGGTGCAGGTCGGCGGGAATATGAAATAAACCCTACTCTTGGATTTGCGTCCCGGTTTGCGGCAGGTACGTCTATCTGTCCCTCTACCGCTTCGGATCTGTTCTGTGCCGCCGGCTCCATGGTATTCCCGGACCGTTCCGGTGCGCTCTCCACCACTCAAGCCTCATGGGTGGTCATGACTGCATCCGGGGCGGGACGGAGCTGGACTCCTTGTAGGTTGAAGAAGGCCCTGCAGGTCGACTCCAGCATACTCCGAATTTCTTTCGCGCTGTTTTTCCCCTTCCCTAAGGCGATCATCGGCTCTGCAGTTTGAATCGCCATGACATCCCCCCATTTGTCCAGCAACTTGCTGAACAGATGGGTAACGTGCAGCCCGGAACCCACTTGCCTCTGTCCCTGAACCTTGTTGATCTGCAACATGTGCGTGAAAAGGTGGTTGTCAGACACTCCCGTAACTTTTTACAAGCTTAATATCATACAACGCTTAAATCATAAAAATACAGGCTCCTTACCCTACCTTCCTCCATAATCAGTTCATCTAGGCGAGCCCTCAAATCTTTCTGCACTGCTTCGGCGTGGCTGCCAGAGACCCTGCGACCTCGGCTGTATTCCACATCTAGTTGTCGAATAAGCCAGCTGCAGGGCAAGGGGGTCGCAAATAATCAATTACATGCGTCCATACAAACCGCACATCTGATTAAGGAGTGACACTTACTCGAACACCTCCTTGGCATGGTCGCTGTGGCGATGGGTTGGGATTGCAGACTTAGGGTCGAAGTGTAGCACACGCGTACGGTACTCTCCGCGGGGATGTGCTAACAAATCTTGCGAGTTCATCAGCACCATGAGACTGATTGCCGTCGAGTGAACGACAGGGACTCTTCGGTACATCGAAGTTTGGATTAGCAAGATAAGCTGGTGTCAACGACAGACGTTGCGGATCCATGTCAAGAAACTCACTCTGATATGATGGGTATTAAAACCATCTGGTAGTTCAACAGCGACCGATGTTCGCTGCCACAACTGGGGACACGCAGGACGGCAGACCTCAAACGCCGATGCTCGGTAGGAGCCAGAATCTTTATGTCCCTGCGAACGCGAGGATCCCCGATCTTGTCCTTGGCAACCTCCCTGCATCCAAGCCGACATGTCGCAGAGGTAAGAAGATAGCAAGTGTGTGTCTAAAAAAACAAGGGTTCAACGTGCCGATGAAGTCGGCGTGCGTTACAAACTGCGCTTGGATACATACACAAGGCCGAAAAGTAACAACGCCTCGTTCCACTCTTCCTGACGAGCGATTAACCTTTCATAAGACTCCCGCCCTAGTCGTACAGACAATCCGCAGCCATCTGTGATTAACTGGGACGACATCGCGTAAGTAAGCCAGAAGATGGCAGGTAGCTATACGGTTACTACCATACACTGTCCGCCTGCAGGATTTTGAGGCCGACACTAGAATGAGAGGGAAGCTTGTGAGGAGGCTAGTTGTGGAACCTAGACTCAGATTGGAATGGCGAGAATGACCTTGAGCTTTGGTGCACCCACCCTGATAACAACTTCTGCTTCGCTGGTAGAATTGGTTGTGCTCTCGTCCTCACAGAAGGTGGGAAAGGCTTTGCTACAAATGCCAGGCGTAGTAAGACTTTTCTGCCCCCTACATCAAAATATTAGGCTTCTCACCATTTCCCTTCGAACATATGCGAACTACTCTTTGCATCCTTCTGCAGTGATTGGCCTATTTGTCGCCAGATTGTTCTCCTAAATGTTCTACTTCAGTTGCTGGTTGGTTGATTGCCAACCTTATATGCCATGTAAGCATATTGCATGTTCTGCGGTGCATTGCATGGTCTCAGCTTTGCCTCGACCTAGTACGAAATGACGACGGGCAGCCCCTAAAAAAAAAGAGACGTGTCCTGTGACAGGTTCATGACATGCTGCCTAGTATAACTATCCCATCCGCATGCTTCCCTCCGCAACGTGGAAATAGAGCAGTCTCTGCGACCTGTCACACGTGTCAGAAACCGAATGACACCCTACATCCCACAGTACCGCTCTAGGGGTAATCGCGTAGCACGTATAGTGCTAGTTTTTGTAACCCATAAAACAAACACAAGCATGAACTTTGCATGATTAGCACACCCAATTCTAAAACGGATAATCCTTTAAGTGTGAGATGAGTGCCCTAACAATAACGGCTCATTAGCACCCGTATAACAACGGCATTTAAATACAAAACAAATGCCGTACATTTCAACAAAGTGATCTGCTCCCGCCTGCAGAGAAGAGCATGCAAAAACATATCAAACCTTGGGCAAATGAGATGAATTTCAGGTGGGGGTCTGAAATATGTGTGGTGAGAGTTCCCTATAAAAATCAGCTCATTTGCCCAAGGATAAGTGGTTGATTTCAATTGCAACCTGATTCAAGGCAATTCTGTACAGAATTCTGCAGACTGCTGCACAACAAGGCTTAAAAACCATATCAAACCTTGGGCAAATAAGATGAATTTCAGAGGGGAGTCTGGAATACGTGTGATCAGAGTCCCCTACAAACATCGGCTCATTTGCCCAAGGATAAGTGGGTGATTTCAGTTGCAACCTGATTCAAGGCAATTCTGCACAGAATTCTGCAGACTGCTGCACAACAAGGCTTAAAAACCATATCAAACCTTAGGCAAATGAGATGAATTTCAGAGAGGAGTCTGGAATATGTGTGCTGAGAGGTCCCTATAAAAATCAGCTCATTTGCCCAAGGATAAAGGGGTGATTTCAGTTGCAACCTGATTCAAGGCAATTCTGCACAGAATTCTGCCGACTGCTGCACAACAAGGCTTAAAAACCAAATCAAACCTTGGGCAAATAAGATGAATTTCAGAGGGGAGTCTGGAATACGTGTGACGAGAGTCCCCTATAACAATCAGCTCATTTTCCCAAGGAGAAGTGGGTGATTTCAGTTGCAACCTGGTTCGAGGCAATTCTGTACAGAATTCTGCAGACTGCTGCAAAACAAGGCTTAAAAATCATATCAAACCTTGGGCAAATGAAGTGAATTTCAGAGGGCAGTCTGGAATATGTTTTATGAGAGTTCCCTTTAAAAATCAGCTCATTTGCCTAAGGATAAGTGGGTGATTTCAGTTTCAACCTGATTCAAGGCAATTATGTACAGAATTCTGCAGACTGCTGCAAAACAAGGCTTAAAAACCATATCAAAACTTCGTCAAATGAGATGAATTTCACAGGGGAGTCTGGAATATGTGTGATGAGAGGTCCCTTTAAAAATCAGCTCATTTGCTCAAGGTTAAATGGGTGATTTCATTTGCAACCTGATTCAAGGCAATTCTGCACAGAATTCTGCAGACTACTGCACAACAAGGCTTAAAAACCAAATCAAACCTTGGGCAAATAAGATGAATTTCAGAGGGGAGTCTACAATACGTGTGATGAGAGTCCCCTATAAAACTCAGCTCGTTTTCCCAAGGAGAAGTGGGTGATTTCAATTGCAACCTGATTCAAGGCACTTCTGTACAGAATTCTGCAGACTGCTGCAAAACAAGGCTTAAAAACCATATCAAACCTTAGGCAAATGAGATGAATTGCAGAGGGCAGTCTGGAATATGTGTGATAAGAATTCCTTATAAAAATCAGCTCATGTGCCCAAGGATAAGTGGGTGATTTCAGTTGCAACCTGGTTCGAGGCAATTCTGTACAGAATTCTGCAGACTGCTGCAAAACAAGGCTTAAAAATCATATCAAACCTTGGGCAAATGAAGTGAATTTCAGAGGGCAGTCTGGAATATGTTTTATGAGAGTTCCCTTTAAAACTCAGCTCATTTGCCCAAGGATAAGTGGGTGATTTCAGTTGCAACCTGATTCAAGGCAATTCTGCACAGAATTCTGCAGACTGCTGCACAACAAGGCTTAAAAACCATATCAAACCTTGGGCAAATGAGATGAATTTCAGAGGGCAGCCTGTAATACGTGTGATAAGAGTCCCCTTTAAAAACCAGCTCATTTTCCCAAGGAGAAGTGTGTCAAATCATAATGTTCTGTAGGCTGTAGTGGGGTAGCCTATATGGGGTACACATTTCTAGGGTTGCATATTTGTACCACTTTCCATTCCTTAGTGCATTCATTCTCGTTTCAATTCTCACATGGTATCGAGCAGGTTCCCTCGTGGGAACTGTGCCTAGGGCCCACCAAGTCGAAAGTTTTTTTTCTGCCCGGAGCGCGCTCTGCCCGAGTCGTGCTCCCTTCTCTGACTCCGTCGAGCCGCCCTAGCGGCCAAGTCGCGCCGCCTTAGCGGCCCCTGATTCGTCGCCCTAGCGACCCCGTCGCCCTACCTACGACCCCGGCCCCGTCGCCCTACCTGCGCCTCGGCCCCGTCGCCCTACCTGCGCCCCGGCCCCGTCGCCCTACCTGCGCCTCGGCCCCGTCGCCCTACCTGCGCCCCGGCCCCGTCGCCCTACCTGCGACCCCGGCCCCGTCGCCCTACCTGCGCACCGGCCCCGTCGCCCTACCGTCTACCCGGCCCCGTCGCCCTACTTACGGCCCGACCCCGGCCCCGTCGCCCTGCCTACGGCCCGGCCCCGTCGCCCTACCTTCGACCCGGCCCCGTCGCCCTACCTACGGCCCGGTCCCGGCCCCGTCACCCTACCTACGGCCCGGCCCCGGCCCCGTCGCCCTACCTTCGACCCGGCCCCGTCGCCCTACCTGCGCCCCGGCCCCGGCCCCGTCGCCCTACATGCGCACCGGCCCCATCGCCCTACCTTCGACCCGGCCCCGTCGCCCTACCTACAGCCCCGCCCGAACCGCTTATGCAAATGAGCCGCCCGCGCCGCTCAGCAGCCCGAGCCGCCCGTTCCGCCCGAGCCGCCCGAGCCGCCCGAGCCACCCGAGCCGCCCGAGCCGCCCGAGCCGCCCGAGCCGCCTGAGCAGCTGAGGAGCCGAGCCGCGGGTGCCGCCGAGCCGCAGTTGCTGCCGAGCCACCCGAGCTGCCCGAAACGCCCTGTCTGGTGAGCGCAGCGCCTCTATCACTGCACTGCCCCTGCTCTACAGTCAGCGCTGCTAGTCTACTGCTGTCATGGCTACCCCTAGTGTCCTCGCTTTTGACGCCGAGGGTCGAGCCATTGACTTTGACGTCTGGGTAGATGACCTGCAGCTGTTCTTACAGTACGATAGGGCAGACGGTCTCTCCCTCTTTGACCTCACCTCTGGTGCCTCTCCTGCTCTTGCTGCTAATGCTGACGCCACTGTTCGCTCACAGTGGGCCACGCGCGATGCTGCTGCACGTCTTGCTGTGCGTCGCCACCTCCCTACCTCTGAGCGTGCGCAATTTAGTCAGTATAAGAGTGCTCAGACCCTGTACGACGCTGTAGTTGCACGCTACTCCTCCCCTGCCACTGAAGCGCTGAGCCGTATCAT